ACAAAGCTGAAATCAGACTGCTTCATTTGCTCATAGTCCTGTCTAAAGTACCTTCGAGACACTCAAACAAAATGGGCTCCAGTGGAATATTCCACATTACAGGTAAAAGTAAACATTACTATTCCTTACCTATTGATGCTACACGGCAAAAATACCAGTGTTTATTTAACACCCACAGTGTTAATTTAACACCAACAAAGTGTCTGTATGTGTCCACACTCGCTGGTGTAAAAATAACATTTGTGAAGGTGTTAAATTTTAACACCCATTTTTTTGTTAATTTAACACCAACCAGTGTTTAATATTCAACAACACTGGGTGTCATATTAATATTTCAGCAGTGTTAAACTTAACACCAATGTATTATTACTAATAACAAAGAAAATTGTGATGTTAGAAATGATAACAGACACCACAAGGTGTCATAATACTGTATGTTTGAGAGTGTAAATTTAACACAGAGTTAATATCAAACTCTTTGTAGTGTTGCATTAACACTGTTCAGTAGTTAATAAAAAAGTATATTGGAGTCACTCTTCACACACCAGGACACACATCTCACTTATGGTGTCAATTTTTGGCCAATAACATAAACTTAAAGGTGAACAACTTGATAAAACTGAACTAGAAAACTAACCTGAACAACTAATTTTTACTCTCATGAACTTCTTTAATGGTCATAAACCTGCAAAAACATCATTTCTACAAGATTTCTCAGCAAGGAATGCTGTGTAAATGCTGGTCTGTCTGACATGAGGTGGAAGAGGGCGGGGCTTTTCCTTTCAACACTGCATGCTGTTATATAACAACACTGTTAAGTGTTATATAAGACTTAACTGTGGGCGGAACTTATTTAACACTGTCCAGTGTTGAAACAACACTGAGGAAATCAACACTGTGAATTAACACCAACACTCAGAAAGTGTTAAAATAACACTAGAGGGTGTTAAATCAACACCCAAAAGTTTAACACTGAAATTTTAACACTCCTGTTTTTGCTGTGTACTTTACACCAGCAAGCAAATCAGATTTTAGAGTAGAGCAATTATAATTTCAGCATTAATTTATGTAAAAACTAARACAAAAAAATCAGTAACTTAATAAATTACAGTTTTCATCCCTGCTTAACGTGGTCCCTTYCTATAAACACAGGAAGTGAGGCAGCACTTCCTGTGTTTGCTCCTGGAACACAGGTACATACACAAGGTGATCTCACTAACAGTAAGAGAGACAGGGCACGAGGGAAATCTCACAGGTAAATAAGTATCTCTGATGGAAGAGGAGGCAGARTTTTCCAGTGTTGTTGATAAAGCTCCACAACATTTCTGGCTGAAAACTGTAGATCCAAAAGAGTTTGATGATCATAGACATATACAGAATCATCATAGATAGAACTGCCACTGATCAGCTACTTTTGATGGTTCCAAACTCGCAGCTCAAACTGAGGTGATAGATCGTCTCTGATGCAGGTCCTAAATCCTGGAATGACCTGCCTAAATGTAAGTCTCCTCCTCTGTGTCTTCAAATCTCGTTAGAAACACACAAAAATGTTATTATTCACTTTCCTTTGACTGAGTGAGTTTGTTGCTCTGTTCTTTTCTGCTGTTTGCAGTCTTCAAAARGKTTTTTATTTTATTTWTAAAGTCATGTAATTTAGCCTGTTAAGGTTAGCAAAKGAATGAACCCAAATCCGGACGGAGGAGAGGAGTTATAATAACATGATTTATTAAATAAAAAAGGCTGACGTGGCAGCAAAAACAACAAGAAAACCCAGGGGGACAACAAGGGACCAACGGGAGGTAAAGACCAAACAATGAACCAGCGAGGGTGCGGAGAACTGAACCAGAATAAATACAACCAGAGCTGAAGAAAATACTGATTAGAAACTACAGACAGGTGTGTGTGACAGAGGGAAATGACAGGTAAGCAACTGAAGGGGGGAAAAGGCGTAATGACAACGAGGGAACACAAGAGGGGGGTAAAACACAAGACAACAAAACACAATCCCACACCTGTTCTCAGTGTGTCTGCTTTATTGTSCAGCAGATTGGTTGGTCTTGTGATGTTTTAAGTGCTTCAAAGATCTTCACCAACTGCGATCTTACCTGTTGTCCATCTTCCCTCAGTGTTCTCGCTTCACTGAAATCAACTCCTCCTGTCCCTGTCTGAAACCTGATACAAATCATTTCATGACATTGTGATTAAAATATCTCAACCAGTTATAATTCCAAATTTTCATCAATATTACCTAAATAAATACGTAATTAGATTTATCATAAGGATTGGGGTCAGTCTCTCAGTGATAAAGGTAACATTAAATCTTCTAATGTAACAAAGCTCTGAACAAACCTGGAGGATAAGCTTTGATCTTCTGCACACAGTTAAATCAGTGTCTGCAGGTTTTAGGCAGACAAGAAAGAGACATTTTGACTCAAGTGACCATTTTCAAATGATCTTGTRGAAGTTATTTATCTACAGAAAACCAACAACAAAAAAAAGTGTCAGCTGCTGAAAATTAAAAATGATTTGTCTCCTGAGCAGCAAGGAACAGAAAATTACTTAAAGGTTAATTTAAAAACTGTTCTAAGCTTTTGTATGGGCTGCCGTTTGTAAAGTTACACAGTCAAAAATTACCACCAATTATTGTGTTTTATTTAACCTTTTATAAGAAAAAAAGAACAGATTTATTTTTCAAAGTCAGTTTTTCACTATATGATTCATAAATTTATAAATGTCATAGTTTATAAACTAAATATTTAACTTACAAATTAAATATTTAGTTAACAAGATAAATA